TGTTGCGTCTATTGTGTCAAGGGTCGTCATACATCAATTCATGATGTTTCGAATGAGCCTTGAAGCGTTTCTACCTCCCTTTTTTAGCTTACTCCATGACAGTAGGAGGGGTGGCTGTTGATTCATTGCACTCATTGATTTTTGTACAAAATCGTGGCTGAAATCATCAAGCAAGCGACTTGCCCATTGATGGTTTTGGAAACGACTCCATCCTTCTCTTGAGGCTTTCCATGACAGAGAATTGTGAGAAGGACAAACAGAGCTCATAAAATTCTTTCTGCACCATTTTCACCTCAGAACACAAAAATAGAGTTTTACATGAAATTAAGGCATAACCGACCCTATTTGGGCCCGACTGGGTTTCATTGGGGGCCAGCCGGGCCATAATGTTTGGTAAACAGAGTGTTTTGTAGAAAACAAGGAGCAGTGGCTAAAGGTGAAATAGGGCAAATTCCAAGGAAAACAGAAAAAATTGCTTCTGAAAACCGTCGCATGCATGCCACCCTTATGCTTAGTTCTATCAATTGTTGTAAATTAATCATTATTGTTGTAATGAATTATTATTGTTGTACTTAATTACTATTGTAGCCATTGTTTATTTGTAATTGTTATAGTTAGTTAACTTAGACAACTAGTTCGTTTCTTTGGAATTCATTAGAATTTGTAATAAGTAGCTAGCTTGTCTCTTTAATTCATTCATACAAATTTGTAATGGTTAGTTTATTCGGACACTCGGACATTCATTCGAACCCTCTTGTATGAGGGTAAAATTGTAATAACGTGTATGTTTTCCAACCCCATTTCTTTCTCCCTTTTATTTATCTGCTTATGATGGTAGCATAGAAGCATCATGTTTATTTAGCATTTTCCATGATTTGCGTCCCATTTGTCTTGCATGCATGAAAGCTCGGCTCATCATTCTAACTTGCATTGTTAGTTAAACACTTCTTTTAGCTTGTTTTGGAGTACGAGGTAAGCACTTATTGCTTTAGCATACTGCGTGAGTGTTAGTGTTGCCATATCAAGCATATTACCATGAGGCTAAGTACTTAAGTGATATACCTATTTGAATGCTTGTGGATGAAGGTTAATTGCTTAAATTGGGATATTTGATGACATGTACATATGGGATCGCTTTTTAAGTGGTACATATTTAAACTCTTTTTTTTTTTAAAAAAACAAACAAACGTGAAATCAAAATGTTCTAACTTTGCAAATTAGTCTATACTTGGTGCAACACATAGTAATGTTAGTCTAATAATCGGAACAAGAGCATACAATGTAAATAAAAATCACATCATGATTAGTAGATGTTGATCTTTTATCGGGCGAGTGGGGTGCTCAATTCATGACCTTCCCCACACGTACCTAAGTTTCCAAGCCGAGACACTTTGGTGATGATGGACTAATGGCCTTTAGCACGAGTCTCGAGTTTCTTAAATTTCCTAAAAATATTTAGGTGGCGACTCTAAAATCTAGCAAAGCAGTCCATTTTTGGCATTTAATTCAAAATCGATTTTCTAAAAGAATTGTCGAATTCAGACTCTTTTTGTATTTTCACTATTTCACATTATACTTGTGAAATCAAATTCAGAATCACGAGAGTCCGAATTGTAGGGCTAGTTATATCCGAAAGGAGTGCGGAAAGCAAGGGAGCACTGGCTCTCTTTGCCAAGAAGAAGGATGGCACATTGCGACTCTGTATTGATTACCGAAAGTTGAATCGGATAACTATTACAAATAGGTACCCACTACCTCGTATAGACGACTTGTTTGACCAGTTGAAGGGGTCTTGTTGCTTTTCTAAGATTGATTTGATATCAGGTTATCACCAGTTGAGAGTGAAGGAGGACGAGATCCAAAAAATGACATTCCGTACGTGGTGTGACCATTATGAGTTTCTAGTGATGCCTTTTGGTCTAATCAATGCACCGGCCTTGTTTATGGATTTGTTGAATCAAATCTTCCGTGAGTTCTTAGACTATTTTGTGGTTGCCTTTGTTGACGACATTTTGATTTACTCACCCTCTGAGGAGCAACACGAGGAACACTTGCGGGTTGTACTTGAGTTACTTAAAGCCCACCGTTTGCATACTAAATTCGGAAAGTGTGAGCTCTGGTTAAAAGAAGTTAAGTTCTTATCTCAGTTTTACTAAATTGTATCGAATATTTAATTAAACTTCCATATGGTCCGATACTCGAAATTAAAATAATTCAATTCACAATTATACTCTTTTGAGCCATTTAGGCTTTCAATTTCTAATTCCAAAATAAATCCTCAATAGAATCATATACGAATCAGTCTCCATAATTTTGAAAAATTCCAAATTAAATTAGAATAATGAGTAATTCAAATTCAAATCTCCTTAATTAATTAAATGCTAATTATTATACGTGGTGGGGTCATCACACCAATGTAGCGGCCGACACCTTGAGTAGGAAATCCATTAACAGTGTAACTAGTATTGTCATCCGGGAATGGGAGATATTGGGTGCTATTAGCGAGTTTGACTTGTATCTTGGCGAGTCTGTTGAGTCAACATGTTTGTTTACTATGGTTGCACAACCTACACTTATAAGCTAAGTCGTAGAGGCACAGCAAGGTGATCACGAGATAAAGACCATCCGAGAGAAGATATCTAGCGGGAAGGTAGAGAATGGCTTGAACATGCATTCTGAATCGAGTGTTAGATATCTTGACTGTCTTTTCATGCCAAAGTTTTGCAGGGAGGAGGTATTCTGAGAGTTCCACCATTCACGCTTTGTAATACACCCGAGAGGCACAAAGATATACCATGTCCTTAAGTCACCAATTTTGGTGGAAGGTGATGAAGAGAGACATAGCATTGTTTGTTTCGAGGTACCTCACTTGTCAGTAAGTGAAGGTTAAGTATTAAAGGCCAACGAGTTTGTTGCAACCCTTGCCTATATCCGAGTGGAAGTGGGAGCATGTCACGATGGATTTTGTTATGGGTCTTTCGAGGACTCAATGGGGTAATGACATCGTGTGGGTGATAGTTGATCAGTTAACTAAGTCAGCACACTTTGCACCTATGTGCACGAGTGAGTCGGTAGATTACCTTGCCGACCTTTATTTTAGGGACATATACTACAACAAAAAAAGGTTTTTACGGAACGCAATGCACGCCAACGTGCAGTGCGCGTAATATTATAACCATGGAAAGTCTTTCACTTTCAAGGACATGCTTCGTACATTGTTAAAAACTATTCGACAGCAGATCTTGTGCATCGTTGTTACTTTTTTTACGACATGCTATAATTCGACATTAAAAACTACTTAACGGTAGATTTTGTGCGTCATTGTTACTTTTTCTACGATTACTTTTGCACGCCGTGAATCGGTGAGACAAATAACAACGTTAATTGTGCACCGTAAAATATGTAATACAACGACTTATTATGCCTGCTATAGAATATGTAGTTTTTTTTTTTTTTTTTAAATTCAACAGGTTCTATTTGACCAATTTTGTACAATCTAACAAATATTACAAACAAGCATCACAAAACATCAATCAACCACCAAAATATTGTTTGAAACATAAAAAAGAAACTATATCCATAAATTATAAACATTTAACAATTGTCTATACATTCCAAACATTCGAAAACTATATCCTTAAGTTCTAAATTATGCAAAAAGTTTAAACTATCCAAAACTATGCATATCTAACTTTCTAAAAATATCAATAACTATTAAGAGATTATCTAAAACTACCAACAAGAGTTCCTATAACAGTTACAGCTGCAATTGTAGCAAATCCACTTGCTCCTATTACAGGGGTGAGGGTGCCCATTGTATGTGTTACCTAAACCCGCGGCAAAAGCTAAAGCAACTAACCATGTTGCATTTCTTGTCTGCATGACAAAGGAAACTTCACATAAGTATAAAAACCAACGACTTAGGGACAAAAATATTTCTTAAGGCATTAAGAAATGATCAAGAAATTTTAAAACATCAACAAAACATTTCCAAAATTAATAAGATAATTCAATGGCCCATGAAAGCAATGTCATAATGAAAAATTAGCAAAAATTCAAGATCTCAATAGTTTGCTACTAAATCTAGGCCATAAGAAGCTCAAGAGAAAAATCAAATTTAAAAAGAGGAAGAGGTGGAATTAATTTACTTCAATGGAACACCTACTTGGGACTTGCATAATTATGTTAAAGGATCTTTATGTATGAGGTTTAGGTCTGTATAGGTTTTATCCATTACCATTGTAAGTTCCAAAATAAAGACTCCAAGTCAAATTAGAGTCTATATTATTTACTAGTTTAAATAGAAACTTTCAATCCAATATGTACATGAAATGTTGTCATGTGAAAGCGTAAAATAAAGACTAAAAAAATTTGAAATCTAGAACATTTTAAAGATAAAACAAACTCTTTTCATCCCCCTATTTGTCATCTTTTTGGGGACCTAATAAGCCAAGTTGAACATCACTAAGCTTGATTCCAAGTGAAAGATGCTGACAAATACTACAAAGCCACTGCAGTTTCATGGGCAATAGAGTAAGCAAGTGTTGTATGCCAGCAACTTCCAATCACTAATTCTACTAGTATGCTATGAAATGGCAATATATGTATGTTCGATTAGGCTAGTTAACAAGCTGAAGCTTGGTTATACAAATCAAGTTTCAAAATGCCTGAGCTCAATTTAAATCCTATAAACTCAAGCCTAACCAATTTAGTATTCAGTTCTGCATATCTTGTTTGCACCAATAGACATTCTTTTTATAAGTTGAAGGACCTTAAATGTTAGTAGCATTCTACCATATCAATGGGGAAAAAATAAATAAAATAAATAAATAAAAAAACATTTTTTAAATTGTCTAAATCCACCCACTCCGTACTTTTTCAGATTCCAAACTTAACTCCAGAACCTATATATAGTACGCCTTTCAGAACCAATTAATGGCGACAAAGTAAATGACCTACATGTTAAATAATCCCAACTGTGATGTATAGTTTTTGCTTGGTATTGTTCAAGGTTCACCCCCTTATGGTGTTTTTTGGTGTATAAAATATTGTACACATCAAAAAACAAAACAAGCACATTAAAGTTAACGCAAAAACTTGTCAACAAAAGAATAAGCTAGTGCTTCAGACAAAACCTTGCCCACTATAGTCTTTCTCGAGCCCATCATTCCTGGATTCCACGTTCCATAGAGTTCAATCACAAAAATAACTTGAAGTACAATTATGGAAGACAATTCTCAAAAGAAAACTCACCAACAAGAAATATATCGCGACTATTTAAATATGAAGCAACCTCCTCACCCTTACTCTGAAATCACAGCAACATCCAGTTACATGGCTGTGAAACGTTGCATCATATCAACCAAATCCTATGTTTCGAGAAACCCACTTCAGCAGTGCAAATGCTATTTTTTAGCATGATTTAATTTCTACCACATGTACCAAATTATATGTATTCGAGTATTGTTAAACTAAACTTATAATTCAGTAATTGATATATCTAAAACTTCAATTCATTTAGCTTTATTCATACTTACATTAAATAAAATTTAATAATAGGTATTTGTTGATGGAATTCTTTCAAATTCTAAATATTTAATATAACGGTTATCTTAAAAGAAAAATTAAATTAGGTTATTGAATTTATATTAAAAATACAATGATGTGGATAACATCATGCTAAATTTGGCACAATGATAGCACACTGCTAGAGTTATTTTTTTTCCCCCATTTTGTGTCCATCTTGCTAAATTTTAGCAATAGCAAAATGTATAGCAACCGGTAGAGTTGCCCTCAAAGTGAGATATGAACTCTACTGCTATTTCCCCATGAGCAGATCACACTATTTAAACTAAAAGCAAACCTGATTCACAAGGTGCAATTAACTCAAGAAATTATCTAAGTAAAAAGTAATTAAGGTCATTCAGGAGAAAACAAAAAAGAACATCAAGACAGACCTAAGCGGCCCACGAATGCTGTGTCAATTAGAGAAGCAATGGGGTCAGCAGATAATGTCAGCACTGCAGGGAATGCAATTTGCAGTATCTCCACCCCAAGTGCGGTTTAGGGGTAAAATAAAGAATTGAGGAGAACGTAATGTAATGAGAACAAAATTTTGAAAGTATAAGTTCATCAGATTGGGATGGTTTTAGTACATTAGGTACGGTAAACAAGATCATGCTAATAGAGTATGCTAAACTTATTTTTCACTGAGAAATGGCACACTAACCAAATAAACCATTTTTGAGCTCCAAGACAAGTTTACTTGAAGATAACATAACAGAAGAGAGAAGTACCGTATGTGGAATCGGATAAAGATGGAGACAATGATCATAATTCAAGATAATGGGTTGTACAATTAGAGGGAGAGGACAGAGACGGCTTTGATGCATTATGGTAGTAACAAGCTGCAACAAAGACTCAAATTCAGCTAGCTTTAGTCTTCAACATTATAAAAGCAAAGAATTAAAATAAATTTTAAAATAAAAATAATAAATAAATAAAACTCAGAAGTGTGAGGGAAACATAGAAAAAATACTAATAAATCTGTCTTTGCTACACAAAGAAATCAACTAAGTTATCATTTTAAACATAGAAGTATATTTTCATGCAGAGCAGAATATGTTTTAAATTATGGAATTGAAATAATTTTATAATTAATCCACTAAGAACTAGATAGAAAAGTAGTAGAGATAGAAGTAACAAAATTTAACACTTTAATATATCAATTGAATGGAACCAAAGTAACAAGATTGCATTGAAGGATGAAATTTTCAATTATCAATTCCAAATTTTGATAACCAAATATCTCATGCTCTATCCTCTATGTAGTATTGTTTAGTGAACTAAAGTTCATGTAAATCAAGAGTAACAATTGGTTCAATCTTTGTTTGAAAAATTAAAACCAAACATTCTCATTCTTACCAAAAAGTGCACAGAATACAGTGAACTACTCTTCATTATTTCCCAAATTCTAACTGCAGTGATATATAAGGAAATTCAATCAATGTAGTACACTCAATAGCTTTGATTTCTACTTTGAACCATCAACTTAAAGGAGTACTCAAATATATTAACAAAGGGTTTTCAACAAACTATACACAACTTACTACTAACAAGACAATCAAATAAATTGACAATTCAAAAAGAAAATAAAAATAAATTGAAAGATGGCTGCCTTCCTAAATCAGAAGATCGAAATTAAAAAAAAACCAGCCTATATCAGGAGAAGAAAAAAAGTTAAAACTCTTAGATGAAGATTACAATATCAGAGAACGAACAAATTTTAAAATTTTCTTGATTCTCCAGCACGCAATTTGCAAATTGCATGATCATTTTAGTGGATGATGATGATCAAGACATCAAATTCCATGCTCAAGACAACCAAAATTAGGAGAGTTACCCATTTCATTTCTAATTTTTTGAGCTAAATGCTTGATAATCTACCAAATTCACAAAATTTACAAATTCTAAAAGAAAAGAACACTGCCTTCAAACTCACTTTCCCCAATAAAAAGACCCCATTTAAACAATATTGTCTCATTCACATACAAATTCAACAACAGAACCACCCAAAATAGCAAAAATATTCAAAACCCATGAACCATCCATGGCAGATCTGTGCAATTAGACAATGTTGATACCCAAAAAAATAAAAACCCACCTCCAACTTGAGAATACAGATCTAGATCCTTCTGATCTCCATACTGAAGAAAAGGGGGTAGCCAAAAAAGGGCAGAATACATATTTATATTTGGAAGAGATTCTCATTGTTTGTTACTCAACTATTCTTCAAAAATATTATCCCTCAATGAAAACCATAGGTAATAATAATAACTACACAAGTGAGTAACACACTCCATTAAAATTTCAAAAAATTTTGGTTTGATTTTCTGAAAAAATTTTGGGAAATTTTCTCTACAAATAAGTTTTCAAAAATAATCAAACCAAACAAATTTTTCTAAAAAAATTTCTCAAAACTTGTAAACCAAACAAGTTTTCCAAACAAATCTCTCTCTCACACACATCAAATCAATCACTTTTTCCAAAACTCTATCTCAAAATAATTTTCCAAAACATCTTTTAAAAAAAACCAAACCAAACATGTTTTCGTACTTTTTATCTCTAAAACACATCTCTCAAACACAAACCAAACATACCCAAAAACCCCAAAAAAAAAAATAAAGCAAAAGCAACTCTAGAGTATGATACCTGACAAAAGAGTGCATTTACAATTCAAGAACCTGCAACATGTGCCCAAGGTTATTTCCCCACACACCCAAAACATAAGAAATTCACAATTGGTTGAGCATGTAATTGAAATACAGTATGAGGGAAAACTCTAAAAGCATGAATTCTTTCTTTTCATTTTATCTTTTCTAATCTTTTTATGGTTGGTAGCCACTTCAAAGAATACACAATACATTTAAATGCAGATAGGTGCCCTCAAATTTATTTCTTCACACATTTTAAAGAACCACGTGAGTAACAAGTTTAAGGCTAATATCCACACAAAAAACATCAAAATTTGATAACAAAAGTACGTTCCAAAAGTAGGAAGAATTTAAAAACATTCCCAAAAAAATAAAAGAATAAAAACCTATATCACCTATGATATCAAATTGTGCTATTATAAACAATTTCCCAATTTTGAATCAAACTCTCAATCAATCATGCATAATACAAACTCATGCAGTAGTAACAAGAACAATCCCCAAATGCATAGATTTGGTTGGCTATATATACATTGATTAAAGAACTCAAAGTCTCTGAAGCTTCCTCGTGAATCGCTTCTTCATCTTTTTTTTCTTTGACAGTGACGGCGTTGTTGTGGGTCCTCTGAACACGAGTCTCGAGAAAAGAATTGATTTGGTCTCGGATGAAGGCTTTGCGGTCAGACAAGTCGACGCCAAAATCTGACTCCAAGGTGCGCCGAATGGAGTCAGCGGTGGTGGTATTGAGGTCGAAGGTCTGGAGCGCATCCCAGAACCAATTCACCAGCTTCCGAATTCGAAACCATTTTTACTACTACTTGTATTCAGATACTCTGATCCAATTAAAGAACTCAACCAAGAAAAAGAAGAGAAGAAAAAGAGAGAGTGAAATTGGTGAGAATATGATTTAGGGTTTCAAATGGATGAGTATGGTGGAGGAGTAGAGAGTGACTTCTGCAAAGTATATTTCATTTTACCATTTGGCCAGAGTATTTCATTTTGGCGCTTGAGTAACTCATTTTGCCACCTATTTTTATTTTTGTGATATTATTCAAGATAGAAATTGTGTCTTGTGAAAAGTAAAATATTTTTAACGGCTAGCATATGTGCATTGTGAGAAGTATATTTTTAATGGCTGACTTTTAGTGCGTCATAAAAAATGTAATATTTTTAATGATTGGCTTTTTGTGCACCGTGAAATGTTCAATATTTTTAATGGCTAGTGTGTGCGTGTCATGTATAGTTGATGTTCTAATGGCATGACATATGCATGTCATAGAAAGTTTTATCATTTATGGCTAACATTGCAAGTCGTAAAAAAATCATCATTATTAGCATTCACAGCCTACGCAATAGACACGTCGTGGTTGGAAAAGCATTGACGACTTACAAAAAAAGCAAGTCATAAAAGTGAGAAATTACGGCGTGCATTTATTGTATGTCGTTGATGTGGTGCCGTATAAAGTCAGTTTTGTTGTAGTGATAGTGCGACTTCATGGAGTACTTGTGACTATCATTTTGGATAGAGATCCACATTTTACGGCTTAGTTGTAGCAGAGCCTACAAAATGCATGTGGCAGAGTCTACAGAATGCATTGGACAGTAGATTGACGTTTAACACTGCCTATCATCCTCAAACTGACAGGCAGTCTGAGTGGACCATTCAGAACTTAGAAGATATGCTAAGGGGTTGTGTTCTTGACTTTAAGGAGTTGTGGGAGAGGCATTTTCTTTCTGTGGAGTTTGCTTATAATAACAGTTTTTAGTCGAGTATTGGCATGGCGCCTTTTGAGGCCTTGTATAGCTGACGATGTAGATCTCCTGTGTGTTGGGCCGAAGTGGGTGACGCATCTATGTTAGGTCCTGAGTTAGTCCGGAAAATGATGAAGAAGGTCACGCTTATCCATAAAAGGTTGATTTCGGCTCAAAATTGCCAAAAGAGCTATGCTGACCGTAGGAAGAGGCCATTATCTTTTGAGGTAGGAGATCATGTCTTCTGAAAATGTCACCTAGACGAGGTTTGATGAGGTTTGGGAAGAGTGGGAAGTTGTCTCCTACATTTATTGGGCCTTTTGAAATCTTAGAGCGCATTGGGAAGGTAGCTTATTGTTTGGCCTTGCCGCCCCAACTTTTTGGGGTTCATGACGTGTTCTATATCTATATGGTCCAAAAGTATGAGCCGGATCCTTCACACATGTTGGATTAGACCGAGTTAGAGGTAGATGAGAATACCTCGTATGAGGAAAGCCTGGTTAGAGTTTTAGATAATCGGGACCAAGTCTTGTGAGGCATGACTATTCCATTGGTTAAGTTGTTGTGGAGACACCATGGAGTTGAGGAGGCGACTTAGGAGCACGAGGCGGAAGTCCATGAGAAGTATCTGCACCTTTTTGTTAATGTTTGAAACTTGTATTGAAAACTATGTTCAAATTGTGAAATGTAAACATTGTATATGTTTTGAAAAAGTGAATTGTACTATTCAGTATTGAAAGCTTTATTTATCATTGTTATGAGAATGGATGACCAGTGGATGGGTCATGGTTATGAATTGGATTAGTTCACATTGTAATGGTTCATTTAAACACTGTATAGTTATTTTAATTTAAAATTTCAAGGACAAAATTTCATAAGGGAGGTTATAATGATTCTGGTGTAGACTCGACTCATTGATTGTTTTGGATCTAGGATTCCTTGTCTTGAATGGGTGTTCATGTCTTTATTCATCTTGTACCTAGTTGCGTTTGGTTGTTGAAGTGGCATTGATGCGTTTAGGACAAGTTGGGAATTAGTTTTTCAATTTCTGCCCAGAATTTGACCTCTTCGCTCGAGCGAACTTTCTTGCACTCAAGTGATCCTTGAGAACTTCTAGTATTTTTGTAGGTCTGCAAAAATGTTGGGAGTGTGGTGTTCTTCACTCGAGTAGTGTTTCTTGCGCTTAAGCAGTCTTGGCTCGAGTGGTACTTTTTGTGCTCGAGCGATTAGCCTCTGTCTGCGAAACTTCTAGGAGGGTGTCATTGTGCCCTCGAGCGGTCACTTTGTTTAGTCGAGCGATCTTACTTATTGTGTCTGGTCGCTCGAGTGGTCTACGTGTATATCAGTCTATAAAAGTCACTTTTTGGATCACTTTTTCATCTATCTCTCTCTCTCTAAACATTTCAAGACCCTAAATGCTCACTCTCTCTCTCTCTCTCTAAAATTCATCTTTAAACCTCAAATACATCTTAATCTATTGATTCTTCAACCCTTGTCTTTTGGGGAAAAAGATAGAACACGTCGAGGGTTTTATTTTAATCAAAGCAAAGTTTGTTTTTGGCTCCACTCAACTTCAACTCTTGCTCTCCTGTGTCTTCTAGCTTCAAGATACGGATTTTCTCAACCTTTAGTATGATTTTTAACTTAGTTATTTGTCTATTTAAACAAATCTCATGATTTGGGGATTTTGAGAAAAACTTAGGGTTTGATTTGAAATTAAGAAGAGGGGTTTTCAAATGGACAAATGGTAATGGTTGTGGAAAAGTATTTATGGTTGAATTAGGTTGAAATGATGGATTTATTCACTCAAAATCAATTTTGGAAAAGATATGGTTTTTGTTCAAAATCTTGGATGTTTGGTTTTGGGAAAGGAAATGGAAATGACTTTGGGCTTTGTAAGAATAGAATGATGATTGTGTTGATAATGATAGTGGAGCTCGATATGTATTATCACTCCCATCTCGGAATTTATGAAATTATATCTTTATTGGAAATTATCTGTTTGAATAGAAATATCTGTTTTGGGCTATCGGTGGAGGATAGCTATGATTGTTGTAGAAATTGCATGAGGATTAGGTAAATTGAAACAAATTTCTCATTCATTTTGCATTGAGCATTGTTGCATACTTAAACATTGAGCATCTATACTGTTTTGAGAAAAATGGGTAAATATCTTGGTGAATCTGGGTATGAGATGTAGTTGTGGTATTATGTTAGCCTATGTGTCCTTGGTGAAAGTCTAGAAACCCGCACGGTTAGGTGCTGATCCTTCTGGTTAGTACCGGTAAAATGGCTTTGGTAGTGTTTGTATAACCTACTGGCAGACATGAACTTGGAGATTCTCAGTGCTTGTAATCATTGCTCTATTTTCTGTTATAAAGGAAACATTTTCATGAATTAAGATATAACCTCGCATTGCATGATTTTGGAAAGAGATGTAAAACGTTTTGACATGTACATTGCATATGCATTCACTTTATAGCTTTATTAACATCCATACACTGTGTTAGAGTATCTCTACTAGGCTTTGGCTCACCCTATGTGGAAAATAACTTTCAGGTGCAGATGATGTACCTTTGCCAATGTCATAGCTTGGGAGGACTTGGAACCGAGGGCTTCTTTTTGTTACTTGTATTTATTTTATTCAAGCCTAGGGTTTAAATTATATTGAGTTTAAAACTCACTTTTGTTGTAACCAAGTATCATCTTGGAAAGTTGTACCCATTAGGACATTAATTTATTTGTTTAACTTTTATTTCATTTCTCTCACATGTGGCATATGCTATAGATTTAGTGTTAAGACTTATGAATGCATAATCGCATGCCACTTTTGTATATGCAAACATATGTCACTTTTGTATTATTTTTGGAATGTATGGTTATTTATTTAATATTGTAAATGGTTTACAGTTATTATTTTCGTGGCATTACAATTCAGGTTACCACAATTAATTAGAATGATTTTAGAGTGAAAAATATAAAACATTGATCAAACTCTAAACTAACTGTTCAAAATAAATTTTCCCCCACATTATAATCCTCATTTTTAAAGAAAAAAAATTAAATTATTAATTTATATAACAACTAACCTTTTTCCTTTTCAAAACCATCAATCAATAAAATTATACTAAATAATGGTGCAAGATTAAAATTATACTAGTGCTTAGAATAAACCAATCTCAAAATAAGAATTTGTAAATATACAAATAATTTCATTCACCACATTCCAATTTTATTATTATTATTATTATTTAAACATTAATATATATTAATCTCAAAATATTCTCACCAATAGAAATGTCAAACCTAGAGGTGAGACAATAAATTCAAGCAATATGCATACTACAAGGCAATCAATTATAAAGAATTAAAATCACATGAATCTATAACTACACACTACATTAGACCATCTAATTTATGTGATGGAATATATAAACTTTCAAAACATCCATAACCCATGAACTCCAAATTCAAATGTCTATCATGAATTTTATTAAACGCATCCATTAAAATATTAATACAATTATAAATATGTAACATCTCATACTAATACTTCAAACTTAATAAAACATCAATTACACCTCCACAATTTTATATAACTTTTAATAACAACCTTAGAACACTTGTATGAAAACCATGGCACATATTAAGATAATTCTTCTCAAATATCACACTTCATTGGGAATAATTTTTTAATGAATTAGTCAACTAATAACAGTTCGTATATCATAATCGATAATACTACTCATGAGTATAGAATCTAATTATTATCTATTACAAAAGAAATTATTCATTACATGGTCTTCTCATTATAGATTCTATATTTGATTTTCCCTTTAAACCTTCCACAAACAACTAGAAATTAATAAAGATTTAAAATTTACTATAGAGTTGACAAGATAGAATTCTAAATTTATTTATGACAATCTGTAATATCAAATTTCCTAAAATTAAATTATTATAAAATTAATAATAATATTTTTCCATAAATTCTATCATCTTGACACACTTTAATTTTAACAGTTACACAACAAAATTTAGAAAACAAATTAATTTGCAAGGACTAACATCACTAAATTCGAACAGTTTAATCAACAAAATTTAAAACCAATTAATTGACAAATTTATTCTCATAATGATTATATGACATTAATTCAATTATGTCCAGTTTTAGTATTAACAAATAACAATTCAAGATCGACCCTAATTGATAATAAATTATAATGAATTATTTATATATCTTTTT